TGAAAAGCTGCGTGGAGTCCCGTGTGTTGGAATAGGGACACATCCTGAAGGTGTCTTTGTGTGTCCCCTGAGATACTATGAGTATGAGAAGGAAGTTGTCAAGAATGAAGGGCAGAAAACTGAAGCATTGAATAATCGTTCTTAGGATATTTTTCAGGAGACAAAAAGAACTGCCTTTCCACAACCATATTCATTATGTCTAGATGTCTTTGTTAGTTTTTTTAGGGCATTTCGTTACAGTGTTACTGTCACAAAAGGACGCCGCCTACCCTTGAAGTTTTATTCTTTTTGCCTTTTTGTTTATTCATTCAAAATAAAAGTAAAGGATATAAATGTTAAAATTGAAGCTGACTAAATAAATCTTGACTCTCGGCGAATGCTTACTCTTCAGAGAGGACCAGTTTTTATCCAATGCTCCCCTTCGCCGTCTAGGCAGTCCCTCAAAAGTTTCGGCCTACGGGTTGGAAGGTGTTTTTGCTTCATGAAATATAATTCGCGTAATGAAAATAATAACTTAGTTCATTGTGTCACGTTACCCCCCTTAATGTTGAAGAAGAAAGGTTGCTGGTTAGACTGAGCACCTGCTGGCACAAACAAGGTTTAGAAGTTTTAATAGCGACTCATATCTTAAAAACATTAAATTTCAAGCAGCGCCAACCCCCCACAAAACGCAATTATAAGTAAAAGGTGAAAGATCTTATCTTAATATATACCTTGCAACAACAATACATTCTCTTAGTGGTTATTCCACTGGGATCAAAATGTGGACGGTGTGAAAACTGTTCTTAAGGCAGTAGGAGTTATGTTGTCACCTGTTGCTAGATTTTATTTGACCATCGTTAAAAAGCAAACCACAAGCTCACGCTTATCAGTTGTGCTTCGGTAATTTACACTCGACCAAAGTAGCCCTTTCTGTGCCTACACGGGAATTTTACTTTTCCCGTTTACTATTTTCCCAAATAGAGTTTGTCGATTTGTCCAGGCGATTTAAAAAGTCCATTTTTGGACTGCTACTTGTGAGTACTTAGTAGCGAAATGAGGTCAGCAACTTCACCTATGATAAGAACTGCTCGAATATATGAAGTCAGTGGCAAAAAGCGCACAATCATTTAGAGAGAAAGTCTTTTATTTTTTTAGCTAATAAATTTTTTTTGTTCATAGCTAGGAGTAGAGTGAGTGAATTTTTTATGCCAACCCTTAAAAGGGTGCACCAGCCAGAAATATCGGTGCATAGTGACTCTCTGTTTTGTTACTGATGTACTGACAAATGTGTCGTTAGCTAATTCTTCCTCATGAAAGAAAAAACTGAAGGGCCAGGTGACTGTTTGTACGAAACTGACAAAGAAGATCATTTGAGGAAGAATACTGTCAAGTGTCAAGTGCTACTTCACTGGAAAATTCGAAAGACACGATCACATGAATGTTTAAAATGCACTCCAAAGGATACCGAATTGAATTAGGTTGAAATCCCACCTGCTTCGACAAATTAACTGTCTTTACGCCTTTGAAGTTCGCTTTCCGTTCTGTCAAACTCGTGTTTGCTTTGCAGTTTAGTATTTTGTCTTTTCCACTTAAAAAATTGGCTTGAACTTGTTTGAGAACTTGCCGGACAGTAGAAAATCAACAGGCTTTGCCAGGAGTTGATTTTATTTTTAAGAAAGCGCCCTACATGTATCGGTATTAGAATATTTGGCTAACTGTTCATATCACGTTTTACAGTTACTGCGAAAAAGAGACACCTGTCGAATGCATGACAAAACAGAAAATACATCTCAAAACACCATTGTTTTATTTTTATTCTGTTCAGAAACGATTGAATATAATAATATTTAACCGTTAGCCTCAGTAAAAGTTTATCCGCCTAAACAACTTCCTTCAAAATTTCCACCTTTCGGCGAAATAAGTAAAATCTGATGCTTTCTAACATTGTTTTGTCTATAATTGAACCATGGAACTCGATTACGGTAAAGCAATTAAGAAACATTTAAATTACTTAAGCGATTCTTTGAATAAAAGCGAAGATAATGCTCTTTGTTATGATCACAGGTTGAACTTCTCGTATCCAAACACTATTTTTCAGTTATCGTGCATATATCCTTTTATCTTTAACTTTATTAATAAACACATGGACCTTTCTTTCTTGATAATGATGGTACCATGTACTGCAAGACGTTTCATTTCTCGTTTATTTTCGTCTGATAATGAAATATGCTAGTGTGATAAGTGTCACCCCAGGGCCGTGAAAAACCTTCTACTCACCTGATGTAAGCAAAATAAAATTTAGAAATAAAAATATACATTTGGTGGAAAGGTGTAGGAGCTCCCAGAATCAGAGAGAAAGTGGCCGTACTTATGCTTGAACGGTTCAGTAATCGCTCCCTTGTTATGTATCAATTGTTCTCTATTTTGGGTGGTTGGCGCACGTTCCTCTACAGGGGCCGTAAACAATAGCGAGGTGCTCCTATTGTTGGGCAGGATGTGTCGGCTATAAGAAATGAACCGGCGCACGCGGTAATTAAAGACACAAGCTGGTGAAACATCGAGAAATTCTTTCATTCGTCAACAGAGAACACAAGAACTTCAGCAAACCATTCCAACCTTCAGGACATGGAAGGTTTTCAGCCAGCTGGTAATGTCTTCTTACTTTTCATTACGTTTTCAGTGTAGGTGAATTTGGAAAATAAACTCCCTTACGAGTTTAAAAATTTGCAGAAGACGATGGATGATTTCTAGGATAAATTTACTTTTCACTTATTCGCTTGCGGACATATCCGATCTGCTGCAATTCGTCTCAAATAGCAACTGAAAATTGATAAAGTTAACTAGCTTTAAATATTGTTTATTTTGAGGACCTTGCTTAAACTTAATTATCAACTGACAAGTACACTCAAAAGTTTGTCTTTTGGACTCTTAACAATGGTCAACAAATGTTGCACCGGCGCTTGCTACTCCTGATTCAAGAAGAATACACGGTGCCCACAAACATATTATGAGCAACATTAGCGTTATAGCGCCTGGCTACAAACCATAACTGAATGTTCAAAGAAACGAATGTTTAAGCGTTAGGAAATTCCAGCATGAAGAGATCTATCTAGTATTTTTAAGAATATTTCTGCCGATATAAATAAACCAAAGCTCCACTTTTAAAATACTCTAAAAGATACTTTAAAAATGTGATCTGTCTTCAACGTTGTCAAAAGTTGCACAATGCAATTATGAAATGACTCAACCAAAGTATGTTCTAAATGTGCGATTGTGGACTAGGCAAGGTCGAAAGACTGGTTCCCGAGGGAGCTGGGTTTATTCCGAAAGAAAGAAAGCATTGGCAATCTTCCCTAACGTTTATTTCTAGTCATGTAACCAAATGTGAAATCGACACCGTTTAAAAGTTTATGTAAGCGATAACTTTTCAAAATAAGTTACAATTAATGCAATCATAATAGAAATGACAATAGAAATACAATATTGAAAACGATGTAAACTACACGCGTAGTTTTAATAGTCCAAACAGGCACGGCTAGCCTATATCTCACCAGTTACGTTTTTTCTTCCTAAAACAAAACTTGAATCATTACTAAATTCTGTTTTTGACGAGGAGAGGAAGAACGCCAGTCTTGAGAGTCGTGACAAAACCAACAAACAAAACAACAACACTGTCGCCGGCTGCGCATGTGTAAGATACTTTTTCAAATCGACTAAAGCATTTGTTTTTAGATGAGATGTTTAACCGTAACGTCAGTGTTATTTCATAGCTAAGTGAGAGCAGATTTTTAAAAAAGAACTGAATATTTTGGTGTCAGTTTTTGCGTTAAATAACATAACTAGTGCGGTATTCCTGGCCCGTCGGGTCATAGCGTGATCAAGACAAGTTCATAAATTCACCAGTTGTCTCGTGTGGGAGGCGAGGCGGCCTCATGGTTAGTGCGCTCGTCTCTGGATCGAGCGGTCCGGGTTTGAGCCCTGGCCGGGGACATTGTGTTGTGTCCTTGGACAAGACACTTTACTCCCACAATGCCTCTCTCCACCCAGGTTTACAAATGGGTACTTAATGTTGGGGGTAACCCTGCGATGGACTAGTATCCCATCCAGGGGGGAGTAGAATTACTCCTAGCCGCTTCATGCTACAGAAACCGGGATAAGCTCCCTGATGAGCCACTTGGCTCGTAAGCAGACTTTGCTTTTACTTGTCTCGTGTAAGTAATTTTGTTCTCTAGTATATTCCCGCGGATTTCTAAGTTAAATGCTACCAGTGACACCCATGTTAATGCAAATTTCACACTACATAACGATTCATGCGCCAAATAGCCTAAAAATACGCCCTTTTAAAGCTAAGTGAATGCAGATTCCGCAGTACGTAACGATTTAGAGGTCGCGATACATGCACGTTAAATAAGCAAAACATCACGCCGTATTTTACTCTACTAACCGCCGAATTGCAACACGATGCATTTATCTTTCAACTTCGCAGTGCTATTTGAAAGCTAAGTGACTGCAGACTTTTCAGTTCAGTTCGTAACGATTTAGGGGCCACTATTCGTTAAATAACCACAATGTTGTACCGTATGGCTAACTGAACGTAGATACCTAAGAAAGTTATGAATTAATGGTCAAGATGCACTAAGTAGCTCAACTGAGATTGAAATGTTCTGCCACACTTTTCCAAACTCGTGTTTGAAAGCTCGCGCATGCGTAAGTGACTCAGCATTGATGACTGGCTATAACAAATTACTAATCTGAAATCGTGATATCTACTTGAAAGAGACCGGCTTTCCTCAGGGTAATATCTATGAGTTTTGTGGTCGAGTCTGCCAATTGGCAAGAAACTATAATTAAGTACAAATATATTGTGACTGATAATAATTTCATTCAGAATTTATTCGAGATATTTAGTTTTCGACCTTTGCTTGAGTTAATGAGTCCAGAAAGTGCCAGGTAAAAAACACTTAAGTATATCTAACGTATTTAACGCAGGTGATGGCAGACGTAACCAACTGGGAGGCATGTACGTCAGCGGAAAACCGCTTTCCCGTGAGCTGCGGTCACGCATTATCAATCTTTCGTGTCTTGGACTTCGTCAGTGTGATATCAGCCGGCAACTCAAGGTCACGCATGGTTGTATCAGCAAACTGCTGTCCAAGTATCAAGAAACTGGAAATCTGGATCCTGTGCAAAATGCGGGACGACCGAGGGTCATCACTTCTGAGATCGAGAAAAAAATTGATCAATATAGAAGAGCGGACCCGGGGGCATTTTGTTGGGAGCTGAGAGAGCACCTAATACGAGACAATGTTTGCAGTGTGGACGAGGTCCCATCTCTTAGCTCCATAAGTCGCCTAGTCAAAAGCAAAATTATCAACGAAGCAGCTGAAAAGAAAGAATTTGCCACAAAACGACTTAATGAATGCGAAAGCACAAATCATTCTTCACCATTTTCTATCGCAAGTATATTAAATATTAAAAGCGATGAAGACAATCACCAACAACCCAAGAAACCGCAGTGCACAAAACAATCACTTGATCCAGGTAAAAAAAAATTTAAGTTAGTTTCTTGTTTCCTTAGATTTACTGAACAGTAAACGAAAAAGATTGATGAAAACGTCCAATGATCAAATAGCGAAATCTATAGCTAGACAAGGCTTACATTTAAATGTACAAGTGTCGCATGTTGAACACATTAACTAACATCTAGAGCGGTTTTCAATTTTCCTGAGATTCGTGTCATCTACATGTATTTCTTCGAGCTTTGATTGGTCAAGTGGATTGTTTGTGTCCTTTTTATTGAGGAATTAACTCTATTGAAAACCTAAACTGAACAAATAGATTAAATAAAATGTAGCAATCACTATTAGTTATTACGTTAAAACAAATTAACAAGTGACAAATTCATAAACTAAAATAAAACAAAACAAAGGCCTTTATGCTACGAGTATGTTCAGCCTTGTCTGAGTTAGGCAACCCCTTTAACAGTTATACACGCGAAACAGTACGAAAACCTATAGTTCACATTTGTTAGTCACAAAAGCAGTATATTGTTCAAGCCCGGCTCAACATTTGGTGGGATTGAAATATTAATTAGATGGTTGTTCAAGAGAGGATCTACAGCTGACAGCTAGGTAACTAAGTATCCGAAGATAGCTGACCGGCAACTACAGGAGGCTTTTTGTCGTGTAATTATTAGTAATTCATTCTTCTATATGTGTTGCTGTAAGTTGTTAGTATAATTTCGTAATATAACTTGAAAACTGATTCTCTCAATCTTGGTTCAACTTACAACCTCCTAATTTATCAACCGTTGTACCGCGATCTTTTGACAGGAAGCCGATCTCTTCCGGTTTCAGACCGTTTTGATGAACAAGACTCCCATAGCAACAGAAGCTCGCCACCACTCGCTAGAGATATGTATTCGGAAGAGGGTCATCCTCGACCTCAACGAAGAGAACGAACCAAGTTTAACCGTGTACAGAGCCTTGAGCTTGAAAAGGAGTTCCAGAAAAATCCCTACCCTGGAATACAGCGAAGAATACAACTAGCTTGCAAATTGGCCATTGACGAATCTAGAATCCAGGTAACAGCAGTTCCAATTACATCAACGTCACCTCACAGATTGTTTTCGTATTCAGTGTAAAATGATTTTTAGTTTTTTCGCTCTAAAGCGTTTCCTTCTTGTATATTTACAGGTTTGGTTTGCTAATCGACGAGCAAAGGGAAGGCGTCGAGTTGTTACCAAAGATCATAATCACTTAATGCACAACGTAAAGGACAGAAGTTATGCATTCCCAAAAGATACAAGCCCCTCGAAAACTTCAGACTTCAACTCTCCCTACCACTTTGTAAACACGAGTCCAAATAAGAACCACTTTCACTGGCAAGAGTGCTGACGACGTGGGTCACCTAATTACTAAAATTGAATTTTTTTTTATGTCCCCTGAGATACTATGAGTATGAGAAGGAAGTTGTCAAGAATGAAGGGCAGAAAACTGAAGCATTGAATAATCGTTCTTAGGATATTTTTCAGGAGACAAAAAGAACTGCCTTTCCACAACCATATTCATTATGTCTAGATGTCTTTGTTAGTTTTTTTAGGGCATTTCGTTACAGTGTTACTGTCACAAAAGGACGCCGCCTACCCTTGAAGTTTTATTCTTTTTGCCTTTTTGTTTATTCATTCAAAATAAAAGTAAAGGATATAAATGTTAAAATTGAAGCTGACTAAATAAATCTTGACTCTCGGCGAATGCTTACTCTTCAGAGAGGACCAGTTTTTATCCAATGCTCCCCTTCGCCGTCTAGGCAGTCCCTCAAAAGTTTCGGCCTACGGGTTGGAAGGTGTTTTTGCTTCATGAAATATAATTCGCGTAATGAAAATAATAACTTAGTTCATTGTGTCACGTTACCCCCCTTAATGTTGAAGAAGAAAGGTTGCTGGTTAGACTGAGCACCTGCTGGCACAAACAAGGTTTAGAAGTTTTAATAGCGACTCATATCTTAAAAACATTAAATTTCAAGCAGCGCCAACCCCCCACAAAACGCAATTATAAGTAAAAGGTGAAAGATCTTATCTTAATATATACCTTGCAACAACAATACATTCTCTTAGTGGTTATTCCACTGGGATCAAAATGTGGACGGTGTGAAAACTGTTCTTAAGGCAGTAGGAGTTATGTTGTCACCTGTTGCTAGATTTTATTTGACCATCGTTAAAAAGCAAACCACAAGCTCACGCTTATCAGTTGTGCTTCGGTAATTTACACTCGACCAAAGTAGCCCTTTCTGTGCCTACACGGGAATTTTACTTTTCCCGTTTACTATTTTCCCAAATAGAGTTTGTCGATTTGTCCAGGCGATTTAAAAAGTCCATTTTTGGACTGCTACTTGTGAGTACTTAGTAGCGAAATGAGGTCAGCAACTTCACCTATGATAAGAACTGCTCGAATATATGAAGTCAGTGGCAAAAAGCGCACAATCATTTAGAGAGAAAGTCTTTTATTTTTTTAGCTAATAAATTTTTTTTGTTCATAGCTAGGAGTAGAGTGAGTGAATTTTTTATGCCAACCCTTAAAAGGGTGCACCAGCCAGAAATATCGGTGCATAGTGACTCTCTGTTTTGTTACTGATGTACTGACAAATGTGTCGTTAGCTAATTCTTCCTCATGAAAGAAAAAACTGAAGGGCCAGGTGACTGTTTGTACGAAACTGACAAAGAAGATCATTTGAGGAAGAATACTGTCAAGTGTCAAGTGCTACTTCACTGGAAAATTCGAAAGACACGATCACATGAATGTTTAAAATGCACTCCAAAGGATACCGAATTGAATTAGGTTGAAATCCCACCTGCTTCGACAAATTAACTGTCTTTACGCCTTTGAAGTTCGCTTTCCGTTCTGTCAAACTCGTGTTTGCTTTGCAGTTTAGTATTTTGTCTTTTCCACTTAAAAAATTGGCTTGAACTTGTTTGAGAACTTGCCGGACAGTAGAAAATCAACAGGCTTTGCCAGGAGTTGATTTTATTTTTAAGAAAGCGCCCTACATGTATCGGTATTAGAATATTTGGCTAACTGTTCATATCACGTTTTACAGTTACTGCGAAAAAGAGACACCTGTCGAATGCATGACAAAACAGAAAATACATCTCAAAACACCATTGTTTTATTTTTATTCTGTTCAGAAACGATTGAATATAATAATATTTAACCGTTAGCCTCAGTAAAAGTTTATCCGCCTAAACAACTTCCTTCAAAATTTCCACCTTTCGGCGAAATAAGTAAAATCTGATGCTTTCTAACATTGTTTTGTCTATAATTGAACCATGGAACTCGATTACGGTAAAGCAATTAAGAAACATTTAAATTACTTAAGCGATTCTTTGAATAAAAGCGAAGATAATGCTCTTTGTTATGATCACAGGTTGAACTTCTCGTATCCAAACACTATTTTTCAGTTATCGTGCATATATCCTTTTATCTTTAACTTTATTAATAAACACATGGACCTTTCTTTCTTGATAATGATGGTACCATGTACTGCAAGACGTTTCATTTCTCGTTTATTTTCGTCTGATAATGAAATATGCTAGTGTGATAAGTGTCACCCCAGGGCCGTGAAAAACCTTCTACTCACCTGATGTAAGCAAAATAAAATTTAGAAATAAAAATATACATTTGGTGGAAAGGTGTAGGAGCTCCCAGAATCAGAGAGAAAGTGGCCGTACTTATGCTTGAACGGTTCAGTAATCGCTCCCTTGTTATGTATCAATTGTTCTCTATTTTGGGTGGTTGGCGCACGTTCCTCTACAGGGGCCGTAAACAATAGCGAGGTGCTCCTATTGTTGGGCAGGATGTGTCGGCTATAAGAAATGAACCGGCGCACGCGGTAATTAAAGACACAAGCTGGTGAAACATCGAGAAATTCTTTCATTCGTCAACAGAGAACACAAGAACTTCAGCAAACCATTCCAACCTTCAGGACATGGAAGGTTTTCAGCCAGCTGGTAATGTCTTCTTACTTTTCATTACGTTTTCAGTGTAGGTGAATTTGGAAAATAAACTCCCTTACGAGTTTAAAAATTTGCAGAAGACGATGGATGATTTCTAGGATAAATTTACTTTTCACTTATTCGCTTGCGGACATATCCGATCTGCTGCAATTCGTCTCAAATAGCAACTGAAAATTGATAAAGTTAACTAGCTTTAAATATTGTTTATTTTGAGGACCTTGCTTAAACTTAATTATCAACTGACAAGTACACTCAAAAGTTTGTCTTTTGGACTCTTAACAATGGTCAAAAAAAGTTGCACCGGCGCTTGCTACTCCTCATTCAAGAAGAATACACGGTGCCCACAAACATATTATGAGCAACATTAGCGTTATCGCGCCTGGCTACAAACCATAACTGAATGTTCAAAGAAACGAATGTTTAAGCGTTAGGAAATTCCAGCATGAAGAGATCTATCTAGTATTTTTAAGAATATTTCTGCCGATATAAATAAACCAAAGCTCCACTTTTAAAATACTCTAAAAGATACTTTAAAAATGTGATCTGTCTTCAACGTTGTCAAAAGTTGCACAATGCAATTATGAAATGACTCAACCAAAGTATGTTCTAAATGTGCGATTGTGGACTAGGCAAGGTCGAAAGACTGGTTCCCGAGGGAGCTGGGTTTATTCCGAAAGAAAGAAAGCATTGGCAATCTTCCCTAACGTTTATTTCTAGTCATGTAACCAAATGTGAAATCGACACCGTTTAAAAGTTTATGTAAGCGATAACTTTTCAAAATAAGTTACAATTAATGCAATCATAATAGAAATGACAATAGAAATACAATATTGAAAACGATGTAAACTACACGCGTAGTTTTAATAGTCCAAACAGGCACGGCTAGCCTATATCTCACCAGTTACGTTTTTTCTTCCTAAAACAAAACTTGAATCATTACTAAATTCTGTTTTTGACGAGGAGAGGAAGAACGCCAGTCTTGAGAGTCGTGACAAAACCAACAAACAAAACAACAACACTGTCGCCGGCTGCGCATGTGTAAGATACTTTTTCAAATCGACTAAAGCATTTGTTTTTAGATGAGATGTTTAACCGTAACGTCAGTGTTATTTCATAGCTAAGTGAGAGCAGATTTTTAAAAAAGAACTGAATATTTTGGTGTCAGTTTTTGCGTTAAATAACATAACTAGTGCGGTATTCCTGGCCCGTCGGGTCATAGCGTGATCAAGACAAGTTCATAAATTCACCAGTTGTCTCGTGTGGGAGGCGAGGCGGCCTCATGGTTAGTGCGCTCGTCTCTGGATCGAGCGGTCCGGGTTTGAGCCCTGGCCGGGGACATTGTGTTGTGTCCTTGGACAAGACACTTTACTCCCACAATGCCTCTCTCCACCCAGGTTTACAAATGGGTACTTAATGTTGGGGGTAACCCTGCGATGGACTAGTATCCCATCCAGGGGGGAGTAGAATTACTCCTAGCCGCTTCATGCTACAGAAACCGGGATAAGCTCCCTGATGAGCCACTTGGCTCGTAAGCAGACTTTGCTTTTACTTGTCTCGTGTAAGTAATTTTGTTCTCTAGTATATTCCCGCGGATTTCTAAGTTAAATGCTACCAGTGACACCCATGTTAATGCAAATTTCACACTACATAACGATTCATGCGCCAAATAGCCTAAAAATACGCCCTTTTAAAGCTAAGTGAATGCAGATTCCGCAGTACGTAACGATTTAGAGGTCGCGATACATGCACGTTAAATAAGCAAAACATCACGCCGTATTTTACTCTACTAACCGCCGAATTGCAACACGATGCATTTATCTTTCAACTTCGCAGTGCTATTTGAAAGCTAAGTGACTGCAGACTTTTCAGTTCAGTTCGTAACGATTTAGGGGCCACTATTCGTTAAATAACCACAATGTTGTACCGTATGGCTAACTGAACGTAGATACCTAAGAAAGTTATGAATTAATGGTCAAGATGCACTAAGTAGCTCAACTGAGATTGAAATGTTCTGCCACACTTTTCCAAACTCGTGTTTGAAAGCTCGCGCATGCGTAAGTGACTCAGCATTGATGACTGGCTATAACAAATTACTAATCTGAAATCGTGATATCTACTTGAAAGAGACCGGCTTTCCTCAGGGTAATATCTATGAGTTTTGTGGTCGAGTCTGCCAATTGGCAAGAAACTATAATTAAGTACAAATATATTGTGACTGATAATAATTTCATTCAGAATTTATTCGAGATATTTAGTTTTCGACCTTTGCTTGAGTTAATGAGTCCAGAAAGTGCCAGGTAAAAAACACTTAAGTATATCTAACGTATTTAACGCAGGTGATGGCAGACGTAACCAACTGGGAGGCATGTACGTCAGCGGAAAACC